GCAAACATTTCAGTGTAAAGTTCATCAAAATATTGACCATATTCTTTGTGTACCAGCAGACATTAAAATCTTTTTGCTTGAGACTTTTTTTAAAGAATTAATTTTTAGATCCTAAAAACAGTGTTATGCTGCTAAGGCATGGGACGATAACTGTTTTCAAGGTATAAAGCTGACAAAATGTTCTGCTATATCATTCCTACTGTATATGTAAGGTTTTTATGTTTTAAGTTTTTCAGGACAACAGTATCTCCAGCAGAAAAGATATCAAAAGATGCCATTTTAAATCATAAAGAAATCTGTGTTTCTGAAACTAATGAAGACAGCAGAAGTCAATGATTCATTAGAATTATTCAGCCTGACATGTTTACTGCTCCAAAATACTTTCAAAGTTTCTCAAAAGAAAATATATTGTGTTCAAAGGGAAAATGTGTTTGTTTTTTTACCCAGACAAATAAAAATTCATTCAAGAATTCATTTTAGAGCAGTAATCACAGTACCGTGAAACCATAATATTTTTATTTAAGGTTATTAGAATTAGAATCTTATACTGGCCCATGCCTAATGCTGCTTAATGTTGCAAAGTCAAAATTTCTATTTTTATTATTTTTCTTTGTATGTATAGTCATGAACACACTTGTTTGCAGAGCAAGTAGTGTTAGTTTTCTGCCATTTATTATTCCTGGTCATTTCTCCAAGAGGCACTTGAATTGGAAGTTCTAAAACAGTAGCATATGAGATCAGGTCACTGCTATGACATGATTGACAATTTTTGTATGTCGCTGTTTGTCTTTGTGCTCTGTTTATGCTGAGAACTGATGCTGAGTATTCTTAGGGCTTTTCACACTTCAAATGGATAATCCTGAGTCATTCCCACTCTGAATAACAAAATCCTTGGTTATCTGTAAGCACGTTCCACACTGCTCATGCTATACCTGGGGCCAACAAATAATCCTAGATGTTCATTAACAGACATTACACATTCCCAACCACCGAGTTAACATTATTATATGTATATTTATGTTGTCACTGTCCCTGATTAGACTAACAGCAGGTCACCTTTTTTGATGCCATTTCTGCATCTTGTCAGGTATGTAAAATGTCATCATGTAGGACTTCAGCTAAGCCTCAGGACATGCACAAAGGCAAAAATAAAAAGACAAAAGTACAAGTGAATGAAAACAAGTTGCAAAGTATGTCATCTTGCTATCTCCTCATTACTCCAGTTTACAGCAAACTGGGATTAAGCATTTGCAAAAGTTCATTCATTCATTTTCCTTTGGCTCAACTGGGCCAAAAAAGGAAAAAGTTGAAGAGAAATTGCTAGTTCCCTTCAAAACCCAGGCAGTGTTTCCTCTAGGATTTTTTCCAGCTGTAGCGGCAGGCCTTTTTTAGACAGATCTACCAACTACCTGTGGTGTTATTTCAATGAGATTTGTCGTGACCCCAGTATTAGAAGTCGAGATCACATTTATGTAATAGCCTACAGCATGCAGATCTCTTTGCTTGTACATTTATGAATGTCTCTAATAGACCTACAGAGCGATATTAATGCGTCCTGAAGTAAAGTGAAACGCCTATAGATCGTGTTTGCTGGCCTCACGCATCTGTCAGTCAGCCAGTCAGTCTGTCAGCACTTATTCTTAACGGGGTAAACAAATAATACACAGCACTACTACGATTACAGAGAAGTTTGCGCGGTTATAATTCACTCAACCTTTTAATACGTTTTGGCGTTTAATACGTTATTACCGGCTATTAAAAAATGAAATGTTTTGAATGAGAAGCTGTAATGTAGCCGTGGCGGGATGAATTTTGTCGTGGTGCCCTGCCATGGAAGAATGAATGTAGCGGAAACCATGCCAGGGGAGCAAATATATACATTTTCTACCCCATTAAAGGCTTCTTTCTCATTATGTAGTTAATAACAAAAGATAAATGTATTTTTGGCTGTGAGACATAGTTTGGACAAAGTTGTCTGTAATTGTCCTTTTGCAAAGTCGTGCATCGTGAAACTCCCTGTCGCTGATCCATCTTGCATTGTAAACAAAGCAGTGCCAAAACGCTAGACCAGATAGTCATGCAGTGAGAAAAACATCCGTAACACGAATATTTTGAAAATCATGCAGTCTGACCTCAGCATTAGTCTCTTTATTCATCAAGGGTTACCACAGTGGAATGAACCACTATCTTTTTTAGTATATATTTTAAACAGCGGATGTCCTTCCAGCTACAACCCAGTTCTGGGAAGCATTTGCATAAGTTATATCAGTGTTTCCTTTAGGATTTTTTCCAGCTGTAGCGGCAGGCCTTTTATACACAAATCTACCAACTACCTGTGGCGTTATTTCAATGACAAATGTTGTGACTGCAGTATTAAAAGTTGAGTTCGCATTTATGTAATAGCCTACAGCATGCGGATCTCTTTGCTTGCCCAACTGTGCTATTTTGAGACACCCTGAAATTGAACTAAAATGTGCTTTTAACATACTATATCTGTATTTTAAAAATATATATATTTAGTTACAACTAGAAATACACTTAAACCCTACTTTTAAACATTTAAATATATTTATGACTAATTTAAAGTATAATAGTAATAAATTAAAAGAATTTACAAATTGTAAAAAAGTGTGCTAAATACTGTATTAAAAGTGCTCTATTTTCCCAAACTATTTTTGTATTTAATGTACTAAAAATAAGTATTAAGTACATTTTAAGAACAGTGAAAGACCAGTTGCGATGAATAAAAACAAAGAGTCAGGAATTAAATAAAATTGAAGGAAATTTAATTACTTTTTTTGTAGTTTTGACAGCAAGAAATCAGCTTCAGCACTCTCCATGAGCTCCACAGGTCGACCTTCCTTACATTCAGGATACAGTGATATTTATGCTAACAGAGTCAACAAACCTATGTCATTAGATTGTTTAGACATCCTCACGTAATTGGTTAGACCAAAGATAATTAAGTAAAAGGATAAACAGTCCAGAACAATTTTAGAATATGCAATGTAAAACATATGTATCCTTAGATTATCATATTATTGACTACACTGGATATACACAAACATATCATCCCTTTTGCATGCCCATTCTTGGCTTTCCTGATCATTCCTTGACCCACAACACACACATACTTCAAGACAATAATGTTTTGGTAAGATTACCACACTCAAAATCAATTTAAGTGTTAGTGATAATTGCATTCACATTAAGTGTACTTAAGTACAACTTTTGGGAAAATGTACTTCTACAATAATACATTACTAATATATTTTTTATATATATTAACTTATTTTAATCTTAAACATTGTACTAAAAATCAACTAATGTTTAAAGCATTTAAAGCACACTTTTGAAAAACACATTAATAAAACTCTTTTTGGTGTTTTTTTCTGTAGTGTACTTTATTGTAGTACACTAAAAATGTATTTAAGTATTACTGGTATTTAATATACTTTTGTCAAGTGTACTAAAGTCCTACTGAAGTATAAACATACTTATTTAGTATATTTATAGTGTAAAACCATCAAACTTTTATTTAACACAAAAAATAACAATGTACTAAAAATGTATTTGCGGGTATTTAAGTGTATTTTAATTGCATTTAATTATATATTTTTTTCACCTGGGATGTCATCTCGCCATCTCCTCATCACAGTTTACAGAAAACGTGGCATTAAGCTTTTGCAAAAGTTCATTCATTCATTTTCCTTAGTCCCTTTATTTATCAGGGGTCGCCACAGTGGAATGAACCACCAACTTATCAAGCATATGTTTTCAACAGCGGATACCTGTCCAGTTGCAAACCAGTACTGGGAAACATTTGCATAAGTTATTTACAATAATGCAAACTCACTAATATAAGCTGAATTATGCGTACTTGCTATGAACATGCAGGATTTGTCTCAATCGGGTCTTCTAAGCAAGTTACAAATGTTTAAATCCAGTGGAAGATACACATAAACCTGAGTAATCTAAAGCGAGTGCATTTGATCATTTGCATTTAAAGCCACAGGCACAAAAAGAGCTTGGTTTTCCTCTGACCCCCAAAATGAAATATTCTGCAAGGTATATGATCTGATTTTGAGCCAAAACCTCAGACACATTCTGGGAACATCAAAGACTTGTTTTACATCTTGTAAAAATAATTTATATAATATAATTTAAAATTAGCCTCACCATTTACTCTCCATTAATAAGTTTTCCCTTGGTTCTTTTGAGCACAAGATATTGTAAAAAATGCAAGCTTCCTTTGTGTTTCAAAAGAAAGGAAATGTTTAAAACCACATGACGGAGAGTAAATGTTAATTGGTTATTTTTATTTGTGGGTGAAACATCCATTTCATGCTTATCGGTTTGTGGCTTCATACTAAAGTTCACTTTTTTGTTGTTTTTTAAGACCTGATGGTGCTGAAAGAAGAGACTCATCAATGGAATAAAATGGAAGAGAAACATCAAGACATAATGACTGATGAAAAACCCACACTGACTAAAAAGACTTCATCACGTGGAAGACCTCGGAAATCCAAATCTAAGTGTAATTTTAGCAGTAAACAGCGTAGAAAGACTTTTAGTCAAAAGCCAAAGCTTGATGTTCACATGAGAGTTCACAAAGGGGAGAAAACTTGCACCTGCAAACAGTGTGGAAAAAGCTTCTATACTATAGGAAACTTAACAGTGCACATGAGAATTCACACTGGGGAGAAGCCTTACACCTGTGAACAGTGTGGAAAGAGTTTTTGTCAAAAAGAAAACTTTAAAACCCACATGAGAATTCACACTGGAGAGAGGCCGTACACATGCCAACAGTGTGGAAAAAGCTTCTATCATGCAGGAAACTTGATAATGCACATGAGAATTCACACTGAGGAGAGGCCTTACTATTGCCCTCAGTGTGGAAAGAGTTTTAAGCAAAATGGCAATCTTGAAGTCCACATGAGAACTCACACTGGAGAGAAAAGATTTACTTGCACACAGTGTGGAAAAAGTTTTGTTAAAAAACAAAACCTTGATATCCACATGAGGATTCACACTGGAGAGAAACCTTACACATGCACAGAGTGTGGTAAAAGTTTCACATATAAAAGCTCACTCAATAACCACATGAGAACTCACACCGGAGAGAACCCGTTTGCATGTGATCAGTGTGGAAAGAGCTTCTCAACCAAATCTAGCCTCATGAACCACATGAACGGTCACACTGGAACCATAGTGTTCACATGTGATCAGTGTGGAATTAAACTCACACGCAAAGACTACATTAGGCGACACATGAAGACTCACTCAAGAGAGGATCATTTTAGATGCAATGAGTGTGGAAAGGGCTTTACCCATAAAAGAAGCCTCAGCGCTCACTTGAAGCTTCACAATGCAGAGCAGAGTCCTGAAAAATGAGGCCTTGTCCACACAAACATGGGTATATTCAAAACGGCAGCTTTTTCATGTAGTTTGGCTGTTCATTCAAGTGAAGTTTATTTATAAACTACTTTTGAGAGGATCACATGCTTATGATTATCCACAGCTGGTCCAGCATTAGCTAAAACATGATTTACCAATCAGATGATTCCAAACTCACTATAAATAACCAGAGTTTTTTTTACCTCAGTTATTGCTTACATGCAGGGCCGGATCAAGCTGAACTGCCGCTCTAGTCAGAAGACAGTCACGCCGCCCTAAACCCCAATGTGAAAACGAAAGTGACCGGTTATGAAAATGAAGCAAGGTATCGTGTACCTCTTTTCTGCCGCCCTATGCGCGGATATAACTGAGGACGCGGGTGGTGAGGGAGGTGTTGCAGACATAACTGAGGACGCGGGTGGTAAGGCAGGTGTCGCGGACGCTGCCCTCTCTCTCCGTGCCGGCCCTGGTTACGCAGTTATGCCGTTTGTTATAAAGTAGTGTCTCACAGACTGTACTTTGGTTTAAGGTACTTGAAGACGGATGAGTTAACATCACTGATGAGGACCTACACTATTAGTTGTCTTCAATAAAGTTTTCTGCCTGTAAGAACTTTGGTCAGCTTCCTTATTTCATCTGTTAGAGTCATCTATACATTGGCAAGCCACACAAGAACGGTTAAGCCAAATACAGCAAAATATAACAATGTGCTTCAACTTATTATGAACCAATAACCATATTTGTGCACAGTGCACATTTGCAAACAGTTTATTAATTAACCAAACAAATGGTCGGCTCTGAAAAAGAATTAGAAAGATTAGGGAGGAGAAAATATTTGAGGAGATGCAGGGAACACTGACCTACACCCTCAGATTGTGTTTTTGATAATTCACATTGTTTGATTGTCACTCGCCTGAACAAACAAAGATTTACATCCAATTTTGTGCTTTTGTCTGCAATTTCACAAAACTTGTTAGTGGATAAACTCCTGTGGTGTGAACTCGCTGTAAGGCAATGACAGTGAGCGACCGATACAGACTCCCTGAAGCCCTGTTCAGACAATGCCATTTGCCAGTTACCACAGATCAGATTTGTGTCAGATTATAAGATTTTAACTTGATCAACTCTTGATGTGTTGTGGGAAACAAATGAAGACTTTGATTTCAAAACACTACACATTTATTTTGATGGACTAATTTGAGAAAAGAAATAAGTTTTCTTTCTGAAGACAATTACAGTCTCTGTAGACAACTTGTTGCCTTTAAAGATGCAATGTGAAAACTCCCATATTACTACAAATAAATGTATTTAGATTCATTATTATTATTAGATTCATAAATGTATTTAGATTCATTATTATTATTATTTTTTATATTATGATATATCTATAATCTGGAACAAAGAAGTGAATTCAGTGAAATCACTGATTCTGGAGAAATGAGTCAAACTGACTCTCATGTGTCTTGAGATTGGCTGTTTGATGCACTTGTGTGTCTTGTGATTGGCTGTTTGCTGCACGTCACACTTTAAGCTGCATTTGCTCCAGAGTTGATCACAAACTAAAGTAAACTTTACGGTTTATATCAAGCATTGTCAAATCATTTAACATCGCCATAACCAGGTTGGGTTTATTTGATTTTGTCAACTTCCAGAGCTTTATCTTTTAACCAGGAGAAGGAGGGAAAATGCACTCACTCTGCATAGTGACATCTTAAAATAGTATTTAAACTAGCCTAATAGGCCAGGGGTTCTCAACCTTTCACAAGCTGCCCCCACCCCCAAAAGCTGGTTCATTGCAGTTGTATATAGTGTATATTAACTAAATACTGCCTCATGTTTTATACGTTTGCAGCCTCTGCAACTTCCGTCCATCATAAAAATTTATTTGGATGATTTGACTTTCCGCCGTTTTCTAAAGTCTTTGAGCGCAGCACACACAAACTAAATTGACATACTGCAGTCACACTTCAAAATGTGGTGTTTTTACATTTATAACATTTGAGCACAGTTCAACAAAATACATCACATGATCTGACGACCAAGAGATCTTAATTTACCATCACCAAACGATTAAAAATGTGGCACTGATTTCATACAGAGTTCATACAGACACAGCCTAATGAAAACCAAGGTTTTCTAAGCACTTTTTCCAGCACCTATTTTTATTTTCAAAACTGACACGCAACATATTGAACACCTGAAATGTATTCTCAGCAACCCATTAAAGCATTGCATAGGAACCATCTATTGATTTATTAAAGAAAACATTAATAAGATATAATAATTAGTTAATAATATATTTATAATTAAGAATATAATAAACCAAAATTGACAAGCATTTTATTGAACACCTGCAATGTCTTCTCAGCAATTAATAAAAATACTGCATTGGAACTATCTATCGATTTATACAATTAAAAAAAAAACATTTATTAACAACAATAATAATTGATCATATATTAATAATATAATAAGCCTGCACTAAATGTGCCTGTGATTTTTTTTATTTTATTTGTTGATGTTCTCTCACAGATGACAAGTTTTAGTAAATAATACTAATATTTTACAAATTACTCTTTTAAAAAACTACACTGAGTACTAGTTAATTACTTTTGAGAAAAACTCAGATTTTCATTATGGCCCTTTTTAAGAATAAAACTATTTAAATGGTTTAACTGCTTACATCACAAGGCTACATATAGGAATTTGCATTAACAAAGTATGGTCGATTTTTCCTTTCATGACATTGACTTAATTTCAATAGTACTGGCACAACTACCACATACTTTAAAGGCCATAGAGACACTTTTTGTCCATTTGTAAACAATACTTCCAAGCTTTGAAATGTTTAATTAAAGTATATGATGAAAAGATTTAAATTTGGGGTTTTATTTACATATTGTACACTATTGTCCTATTTGCTCATTGTTGTCTATACAACATTTTATTTTACACTTGATCTTAAACTGAAATAATTTTACACAAGGACAAGGACACTGTCAGTGATAAAATAATAAAACAAATGACTTCGTTTCACTTGAGGTATTTGAAATATGACGACTCTACATTTCTCAAAGCTGTGCTTTAAGAGCCTTATTGTTTATTTTGATAAATGTAACAAATTGTTTGACCTGTTATGCCTGCACAATTTAGTGATGCTTTAAGACCAATCAGAACACCCCTATTATGTATAAATCACATAAATACCTCATCCAGAAACATTTCTAGCATAATTATTTTGTCGTAAAGAAATAAAAAGTTTCACCTTTGCTAAAAGTTCTGGTAGTATAATATCATAACAGTGTTATTTGCAAACTCTAAATAGCGAAATCATATTAGCAGCCATTGACTATCAAAGTACAACATTGGTCACAGTCAAATAAACAGTGTTAATGTTGTTTTTAAGTCATACTTGAATGCTAATTCTGATTGAATATTCAAAATTACATGGTAAACAATATAGAGACTTCTAAATGAACGAATGTGTGAATATAAAAACAACTTTACCTTTATAACTCGCCGTCAGGAGAGAAGAGAGTGAAACGTGTTTATAAAAAATGTAGAATATATTATAATTTTTTTTATGAAATAATGACTGTTTTGGTCTAATTTAGCAGCAGAAAGAGATCCGATGAATCCAAACAAAGATCACAAATTTGCACGTTTCACCCCCACGTTTTTTTAGCAATACTATCTTTCTATATAACTTTATTTTATACATTTATGCATGTAATATATATTTAATGTTTGCAGAACTTTGCACTTTATACTTTTTGTCTCTGTACTGGAATGTCCAATCACCAAGACAAAACATTCTTGTGTGCAAACAATTGACAATAAATAATTGACCAGTTTTGATAAAACTATTTAATAACTAAAGCTCCTTTCTGCCTGGTAGAAAAAGCCAAAACTTTGATTTACTAAATTATGGAAATAATGATTTACTAGCTCAAAATGATGACTAAATAAATCTGTAGAGATTACATTATTATGACAATAGGTGGAGACAAACAACCATTTAAATGTGTAACTTAATTCTCTAAAGATGATTAATCTAATAAAAGGTGAGTTTTTTAAGGAGAGTTATTGAATCTTAAACTGAAATTTATCTTTTTTCCATGCATGCAGTTTTCATGAACAAGATAATAACTTAAACTCAAATTAATGCTCCATGGTCATTTATTTGACAAGTAACTTTGCATTGTAGTAGATAACACAAAATGAAGTAAATTTAAAATAATGTAATTAATAAAAAAAAAATTACTTAAAACTTAAAACTACTTTAAACATAAAACTGCTTTAAAATGTTAAGCTTGTTAAAACTTACAACTACTTAAAAGTACTTTTTTTTAAATTTAAGCTTATAAAAACTACTTTAAAAAATATTCAGCTTTCTCAAGCCAGCCTAAAGTTTGTCTTGACAAACTTTTTAATTTAGTTTAAAATAATATTTCCCACATTATCTTTAACAAACCGAGGAAATTTTCACCAGTATTACATAAAACAGCATCCTATAAAACAAAAATAATTTTTCGGGAGTCATAATACGTCTTATTTCATTTTATTTATATATATGTGATTATAAATATGATTGTCTTAGTTCTATCAAAATAGCAAACACTGAACATCTCTCTGTATGTAGGCTAAAAGACTGCTTTATTTATTTATTTAGGCCTACTTATTTGTTCTGACTGTTTGTGCTTTTATTTTAGTTGTCTTTTATTTCTTCAATTCTATT